GAGGGGGGAAAAAAGTCGTCAGAGTGTTGTGATGTGGGGATAGAGATTCAAGGGGTGTGAGGTGGTGGCTTACGGTGTACAAAAGAAAAGGAGAAGGAGAGGAGCATAGTAATAGGGAGAAAGATACCCATTAAGGCGGCAATGGTGTTTCGTTGGCGGGCTACTTCAGGTAATTCTGGGTTTCCGCGTTAGGGACTCTGGGTTGGGGTGAGAGAGAGAGTACCTGGTAGAAAGGCAGGAGAGAAAGAAATATAGGAACAGAGACGGAGAGAGAGAGAGCGCAAAACCTGGAGTCGTCGGTGGCAGTGACAATGGCGGTGGCGGTGGCGGTGGTGGTGGTGAGGTCGCTGGTAGAGAGAGAGAGTGTTAGAGACAGATCGTAGTATAAATATAAATATGGGAGATATCTATTTTGGGGTGGAACTAAGTGAGAGATGTAAAGGTACGAGAGATTGAGGGGACTCTTTGATAGCCTTAGAATTACAATTAGAGGTTTGTTAAAATTTTTGGGGTGAAAAATATGTTAAATTGTATTGAAAGTTCCCAAAATTGTTTAATATTTTAGAGATCAAAATAAAATAAACTCTATATTTTGTGGAACTTCAGTGCAATTAACCCTTAATATTTTTAAAATTTTAAATAAAAAAGAGTTAATAATGATGATAAAAAATTTAAATATAAAGTAGTTATCAAAAGTTGAAAGTAGTTGCATAGGCCAAATGTTGGACTTCAATTGGAGGATGTCAATTAAATAATTCAAAATTAGGAGAAAATAAAAAATTTCAAGCCCTCTCTCTCGTAAATTGATTCTTTTAATTTATATTATACAAGTACATATTAGTCCATCTCCAATTTTAACTCAATGTTTACTTAAATTTGAGTAAAAAATTTAATTTGATACAAAACACTACAATAGAAAATTTCAAATTTAAAAGAGAATAAACTCAAATTTAAAAGATGACAGCTTCAAATTTAAAAGAGTGTAAAATATAATCATTAAATTTTTAAAAGAGTGTAAAATTTTACTATTAAAGATTTAAATCTCCTTTGATTTAAATAAAAAAAAATTGAGTTTGCCTACATTGGTATGAGTTTGAGAGTAAAGAAGCCGAGCTTATTTTAAGCATGTTTTTATTTAAATTTAAGCTTGAGTTTGGATATGAGTAAGGATTGAAGATGCTTTTACCGATAATAATTGGTATATTATTTTACTCTATTCAATCTGTAACATATTTGGTTCAAGATTGCAATAGGATATAAGTTCACTATTCTAATATCTATCCAATGTTTGTGAGTTCAGATAGAGATGGTGAAAACTATGGATGATGTTTTAATGAAAATGGTCAGAATCCAAGACCATTTGTTACATTCCTAAGGACAAAATCATCTTACGAATTTTAACCTATCACACATCATCTTACGTATGCACCATAAAAGCCATGCATTTTCTCGAAAAGTATTGACTTGTCGAATGCACATGGCTTTTGCGAACTTGGTGTCCGCTGTCATTGCATGTTTGGACTTTTTTTTTTTTTTTTTTTTGGTACATTGGAAAGTTGTTTGGACTTTTTTATTGGTATGGTTTCTCTCACTTTCTTCTTTTGGTTTGTGTTCGAAAATATGAGGGAAGGAGCTTCAGTATGTCCTTTCTTCTTTTGGCTAGTGTTCAAGAGAGGGAGCTGATATATGGGAGTCGTGTGAGTTTTTTTTTATAGCAACGATTGTTTACACTCTAGGGTAGGGGAGGGAAGGCAAGGAAGAGAATCGAACCTTCAACATGTCGCTCCATTACATAGGATTTAAACTGTTCGAGTAGGTTGTATTCACTACAATATACATACATGATTCATTCTATTTTCTTATAACAGTATAAAAATGTGAAATAATCTCGCCATATGAGACATAAGAAGATTGAATAAATTTGACCATCTCTAAGCCCTATAGTAGCTAAGGTCGGCCCAATGAATAGAAAGACAATTAAAATAGTCGCCTAAACCCCCAAATTTTTTCGGGCCATAGATAAATTTTTTAGATTGTTGAAATTCAATCATGTTTAATTTTATATTGACAGTATTTAAATTTAGATTCAATTAAGTCTAATTTTATATTAAGGATTTTTACATTCAGGCATATGTTTTATTTCTCATGCCCAATATTTAAAATTAGTTTTAAATTTATTTTAGGAATCCCAACCAAAATGATATTTTCATTCAATCAAATCCAATTTTATTTTTAAGACTCTCAAAAAATTTGATAGGATAAATTTTAGACTGAGATCCAATGAAGTTCAATTTTATTTTTACTACTCTTAGACTAATGTGAGATACATTTCTTTTATGTTTATGCTATTTGTGACTTGAAACTTACTATATGTATCAAAACTATACAATTTATTGCTTCCAACCACTTTGGTCAGCTTGAAAGTTATTTTAATTGTTGGTTTATCTATAATTTGATAAGTTTAGATTTCAATTGACTTTTTTCAGAATTTCTTTTTATTGTCAATACAGATATAAAACATCACTTGAATGTCTAATATTGGATAATTTTTTTTTATGTTACTACTATATATATCTTTTATTAGACCATGAATGGCCTACGATATTATCCATTATGTCAAAAAGACCTCGATAAAAAATGTTATTGTAATTTTGCATCTCAAATCGTAAGAAAATAAGTTTTAATACATACACTCTATTATTTAAGAAGTTACATAATCCTATATCAATATTGTGGTAATGCCTAAAACGATGACCCCATGGGTTAGGTCATAGTATTGCCTAAAACTAAGGCTTGCAAAGTTGTCCTAGCCTAGATTATATAATTCATCAAACTACCCTAGTGAATTGGTGCTTAAGAGCGGATTCAAGCTAAAATCACAAATTCAAAAAGTTGAATTCGTGAATTCTATATTTCTAATTCGCATACTAGAAATATTTGGGGCCAAGCCCATAATTTGTAAAAAATTTAGACTCATTAACAAATTGGACCAAAGTCCAAACAAGAGTTTAATCTACTGCAACATTCTAAGGCCCAATGCAAATGCCGAATAACCACTCAGCAAAGCACAATCCCTATTAACTGTCTTCCCATTGAAACTTTTGTTAAGCAGTCATGTGAATGTGAGATCCATACCTCATATACACTTCTCCACTTTTGTTAATCACCCATGTGGAAAACCCATTTGCCATAAAAGTCTTATCCTTTGTTTATTTCTTTACCACTTATAAAATAATTTATTTTTTTTTACTCTCTAAGTGATGCTCCTACTCTCGCTTTCGCTTCTGCTCCCACTCTATGTCATCTAGGTCATAGTCCATTGGCATATAGAATTTCCAAAATAGGTCAAACTTGGAAAAAAAATATTTATAGGAAACTTGTGAAAAGATACATATCCTACTTTGACGAAGTATTTTAATATAAATTATCTGTATATAAGTCATTTTTGTGTAAATATTTTGTGAACAGATATATTTTGGCTATTTTTTAAATATTTGATTTACATAAAAATCATTTTCTTTTATTCATGGAAGATAATTTAGGCAGTTAATTGTAGGATTCAGTTTCTATTTTTTTGGAATAGCACGTTTGAATTTTGAACTATATCTCCCTCTTTCATTCAACGGCTTAAATTTTGAAAACAACACTCTTCGTCTTATTAGCCTTTTCCTTATTTTTTTTTTATTCTATTTTACTGGCTAAGTGGTTTTCTAAATTAAAGGATAATTAACTGTTTGAATTTTAAAAAAATTTCATTAGTTTTAAAAATATTTTCTACTCTCTGTCTCTGTCTAACTCTCACCATTACTATATATATATATATCTCTCTCTCTTTTTCTTACTTTTTCTTCCTCTATTTTCTCTCTCAAACTCGTTCCTTCTCCAATCATTACTCTTCTCTCCCTATTATATATCTCTCTCTCTCCCCTTATTTTCTCTCTCTATTTATGAAGTGCTACATTTAAGTCGCATTGTGTAATACCCACTTTGTACAAAATACTGCACATGATGTTTGTTTTGCAGTGTGACATTGGAGTCACACTTTTGATGCTCACACCATGAAAAAATAATACATATGATGTGTCGTTGCATTGTTATATTGGATTCACACTGTGATACCCACCATGCGTTTTTGAATATTTATATGAAGTGTTACATTAGAATCACAATGTGATACTATGCATGTGCAAATCCTATATATGGTGTATATATGCAATGTGACATTGATGTCATATTGTGATGCTCAAAGTGTGTCAATCCATGAATTACACTGTAATAATTTTCATGTGCCAAAACCTACATATATTATGTGTATACAGTGGACATTGATGTCACATTATAATACCAACAGTGACCCAACCCTGAATATGTTTTTTACAAGTAGTGTGACATTGGCGTCACCGTGGCTAAACTAAGCATATGATGTGTGTATACAATGTGATATTGGTGTCACAGTGACCAAATCCTCGTTTTCAATAAATTCCATCGATATCGACAGTGTGTTTTCCTCTCGTAGTGAAACCCTCAATAATAATAGATTTTTTTGACATTCAAGAATGGTGTTTGGAGTAAATATTTGTATACCGTTTGAATTTCAAATTTTTATTCTCAAATCATGAAAACTCTGGCGCCAATTGTGAAAACATGTATGTGAGCAGTTGCTATCTCTTCCCATTCTTTACACCGGTTCTTTTAGACAAGTAGTAAACTTTTCAGAATGAAAAAAAAATGCTATTTTATACTTTAGTGAGTGGATTTTTTTACAAATATTTTTAAAAACTGTATTTTTTTCGCTAATAATTTTAATATTGCGTACCGGCCCTCTGTGTTTTCCTTTTTCATAGCCGGCTCATTTGGATCGGATTGCTGAGCAGCCTGATAAACGCTCATTAAGGATTGTCCAATGGGAAAACCATGGGCTGTACAAAACATGGTTGGGATTAGCTCGGCCCGACTTGTTGTTTAGCCAATGGCCCGACTACTCGACCTGTTATGGGTCGTCACCTAAAACTTTCGTCACCATCTCTTGCTTCGTTCGCATTTTCAGTCATGTGATAGCTCTGTAGAATAATAAGTATCAAAAAAATAAAAAAAATCACCGAAATTTTCCACAAGTGACGATGATGGAGAAGAGGAATTGGACATAGGTTGTTCAAACGTTGCATATGGTACTTTGTAACTCCGAAATTCCTTCCGCCCCTCCTGTACTTTAACTTAGTATGTCACTTGACACTGTCACGTGATGTGTATAATTCACTGAATATTTTCTGTTTTTCAGGGTTGAGCTCTATAATTTTAGCGGACTTAACAAACCACCGACACTTTATGCCCAATCATTCTCAATAATTTTGTGGGTAATGAGTATCTATTAATAAGTATATAAGAAAATTACGTAATTATGTGATAAAATTGAATTAAAATCACGACCATACCATGAAAAATTACCTTTTCGAGTTATTCCAATTCGATCAAATTTTTATATTAAATTGTTTAATGTTTCGATATGAACTATGATTATAAACCTCATCAAATCTGACAATCAAGTTTAAATAGGGACGACCGTATTCGAATCTATGACATTAAAATTTAATAATATAATGACAAATATTAAATTAACCGCTAATCTCGTTGTAATTTGGCCTTGTGAGTCATCTAGATAGTGTTGTTTGACTTGGAGAATGAATAGTTGCTAGTTAGGGGGGGCATCCATGCGTCCGAGTCGAAAGGGACACGACGGCATAGCTAAATAAGCACACGTGTTAAACACTAATTCCCACGTGGTGTCTGTCAAAACATTCTACCTCCTTATTTGCTGACACATAACCACCCTCCCCCCTACCACCACCCCCAAAACAATACTTCTTCTTCTTCTGCTTCACCGTGACCTCTGCAGATTTTGCAGGGTGATCAAGGATCAACATGGGCTCAGCAACATTTGTGGAAGTGGTTCTCTCAATATTCATACCACCTGTTGGTGTCTTCCTTCGTTTTGGCTGTGGGGTAATTTATATATATATTTTTTTCCTTTGATACATTTACATTATGTGTGAGAAAATGTTTTCTTTCCCTCTATTTTTAACCTGTTGGAATACCTCGTATAAAAAAAAGTCCTGAATTTATTATCTCGAGTTCTTAAGTTTGAGTAACGCGGTGATTAAGACATCGGCCCACTTTAATTCTTTTTACTAAAACATCACCTTTTTACACTAACGCTTTATAAATTACTTTGAACTTTTTTAATTTCATTCAATTTTTCATAAAGAGCTCTCGACTTTTAGAATGTAAATACCTTATTAGCTATGTTATTGGGATTTAGGTCTAATATTTTATAGCCATTAGAATAGTAGTAAGATTTAATATTGAATGTAGTAAATGATCATAATGTGATACATTCCCAATATAAAGTATTCAAATTAAAACAAGTAACAATATTAAAACTTAATACTTATTATTTCCCTAATCCGTTCAAATGAAAAAATAGAATAACTTTGAAAATTATTTCTTTGTTAGACATAACTTTGTGGATTGAAAATTTTTCAATCTAAATCTAAATATAAATATGGTTTATGGTGTTGGTCTTAGTTTTTGTGCATAAGCTTTGTTCCCCGTAAACATAAATTTTTGGCTCCATCCCTAATTATACCTCTCTCATAATCTAATTTCTTATGATAGTCGGTAGTTTAAAATGGTATAAATACCAGAGTTTAGAGACTTTCAAATTAAAAGATAAACAAAATGATTTTTACTATTTATGGTTGAGATCGTTTTAAATTTTACTTTAAAGTTAATCTAACGGCTAATATTAACATCCTAAATTTAATAGGAAAATAGGCAGGGAGTGTTTGGAATAACTTTTTTAAAAGTACTTTTAGAAATTATTTCTCATAAATACTTTTAAAAAAATAATGTTTGAAATTGCCTCACCACTACCTATACCCCACCACCACCACCGTCACCCCCCACCGTCGTCGCCGCCGCCTCTGCCACCCCGGTCATTGCCACCCACCACAACCATCACCGTTTCTTACCACCACCACTGCTGCCCACCACCTCTCACCGCCACTACAAATTGATACTTAATTTTTTTTTATTTCTTTTTTATGTTTGTGATTTGATTTTGGATATAAATCATAAATATGTTTATTGTTTACTATTTTTTATTACTCTGTACCTTCAGACACAGACAATAACTAGTACACTTGTATAACAGTATAAATTTTTAAAGTAAAGGGTAGCTTAACAAGTAGTTATAGAATAGGGGCCATGTTCCCCCAGACTTTTGACAAAACCCCATTGTATAGTTATTGTTTGATAGTAATTTCTCTTTGGTGATTCGTCAGATTTTGAATCCTGCTACCGATGTTCGAACGCAACTCTGGCTTGATAAATTTTCAGAATTTATTGACCTAATTTGTTGATTTAATCACGCATAGTTATTGGATTGATACTGAGTTGAGTGTTCTTCATGATCCTCTATCAGTCTAATGGTTGTAATTGATTAAGCAAGCAACTTGGGTCCAAATAGTGTTACTGATTCTTTAAGCCCTTTGATATTTTGGACTTGCAGATAGAATTCTGGATTTGTTTGTTGCTGACGATACTGGGATATCTTCCGGGCATTATATATGCACTTTATGTGTTAGTTGGATAGTGCATTAGCTTGGCTTCAATGCCTAAATAAAATGTAGAAACACATGGTTTTTTTTTTTTTTAATTTTTTTAATGTTCTTTGTTCCTCTTTGTCATGTTGTATAAGAACTCGTCCTGTGTTTATGATGAATTTGAGATTCTGATGGATCTTGTCATGGTGGTGTTTGAAATTAGTTTTGATTTTGTTACACTAAAATGTTCATCAAGAGATACTAGGTGAGAGGAATGGGTTGCTCATCAAGTAATATGTGCGGCGGTAAGCAAGCAGCTAGCATAAGAACTCAACCGATGGCATAGTCTGAAGCATCGGTACGTACCTTGAACGGCTTAACATGATCTGGTAAGTATGAAAATTATTCTCGTTGTTATAGGGCCAATTATAGTCGCTAAAGATCTTTACAAATCACCATTTGTTGTAAGAAAAAGACCTTGGTGTAGGACAAGTATTTGGTGATATTAGCTAAAACCATAAATTTTCTACAGAGTGAAAAATAAATGAACCATTCCATAATTAGATAAATAATTTGTTATATTATTCTCTAGAAGTTTAAATGGTTGTTCAACACCGGTTAGATGAAAGGGTATGGTTGTTTAACACGACAATCATTTCGTAGCAAAAACATCAAACACGAATGTTAATTGGTCGCAATAACCATCCTGGCTTACATTTTGATATTCAAATCAATTTCTCGATCGAACCGGGAGAGAGGAAGATGTATCTCTTAACCACCACTTATAGCATGTTTGGATGGAATTTGGGAGAAGGATCAGACTGGTTTGATGAAACCCTTATACATGGGTTTGATGAAGCCCTTATACGTGTGTTTGAGAAAGTCTTGAGTTGAGAAAGGCATCCACGTATGGGCTATGACAATGAATTGGACTATTTTTTTATACTCCCCTCTTTAGATCCGCCCAAACCCTTGGAACAAAAAGGTCCAATTGGAGTTTGAAACGGTGAATTTTGAGAGAGAGAGAGAGAGTTATCTGCAACAATTGGAGTTTGAAATGACATTACTCATTATACAGTTCGGAATTTCATTTCACAATATAGACGGAGAAATGGTGTCTCCAAGCAATCATGCCATGGCTAACTTTTCTACTTGCACTTAAAAAAATTTCGCTCATTCAAAGGTGTGATTTCGTATTATACTAGATTTGACAAGTTTTACGCTAGGTGTCAGCTACCTAATGCCACTTACCTTTACATGGATTTGGTACCGGCTGTGTATAAAAGATATAAAGCTGTAAGTAAGCTTCGAAAAAAGACTAATCAAACATGCGACAGCCTCTCCCAAAACGTGTACAATGTTTTGACTTCCTAATGTATCTGCCAACCCCCAATAAAAGAAAACCAGAACCAGCCATGCCAGCAAAAAAAGACACAAAATAATGTGAAATGCAATCTGTGTTTAGTAACTGCTACTGATAAACACACTAAAACTCTATCAATTTTGAGTCAACAGCATAGACAATTGAATTTTACCCCATGAAGGAAGTGAGGAGTATAACAAGAATGCTACATAAAAGCATAAACTAATGAAACAGACCTTGTGCTTATTTTGGTGGTATTGCGCACTTATTGCATGCACTTGTTCATGCATAAAACTTCAAACGCATAGATATTCCATCTGCCTCCACCCCCGAAATCCTGTATTAAAATCCTATGTATTTGGTTCTCCAACATAAACAGCTCCGCCTCTAGAAGCATACATCCTGCATCAACACTGTAGATGAAAATAAGAACTCATTAAAACTATCAAACAACATGAGTGTCCACATAATAATCCGAATATAATAAACATTTGAGAGAGAGAGATGACTTTAAGAATCACTTACCACATTTTTGATAATAGAGATGCTCACAGCTTGAGGGAGTACAGGAAGCCTCAATGGCTCAGGTGTTCTTTCTATGAGTGCCTTCAGGAGAGAGAAACATTGATGCCTTTTCGACCGTCTTTTCTCTTGTTGAATCTAATGACAACAAAAATAATTCACTGCTATTGCAGACAGAAGTTCTGTCAGCCAATGGAGTTCTTGTGCTGGGTAGAACCTCATCAGTTGTGGGAACAGAAAGTGGACTATGATTCAAGGATATGATTGGTGAATTCTGCTGCCGATCAAAAAGAAGGTTATCCCCATTACAGGATGAGAAAATGGGTGTACTGTGACTTTCAGGGTAATTGCCACTTTTTCCTTTGAGTTCCATCACCACATCCTTGTTCAGATCAATGATCTCGAAATACCTGCGTAAACCATTAACTTGATCTTCAAAACCAGCTAGGGTTTTCTTCTCGTTTTCAGGATATAAATGCAGATTGTTCTCAAGATGGTGCTGGCTGGCCTCTTCTTGTTTTTTCTTAGACGAGTTCAAAGCATCGCTGTGGATGCCAGTCTCATCTTTTTGCCTCTTATTCTCTATTCCCTTTCTATTGGTCAATATCCCTTTGTTTCTTACCCCTTTTGACTTCAAACTAGAACTCTGGCCAACTTTTCTAGTAGCATTTTGCTCAGCACCAACTCTTCTGATTTTCAAGCAATTTTCTGTGTCTACTGGAGGAGATATAGCAGTATGAGCAATTGAAGATGTGCCTAAGCTATATCTCATGGTTGCAAACGTGCCAGACCTTTTTGGTGGTGCATTATTTAGCGCTTGAAACCCTGCAGCATACCTAGGCCTGACGCCCGAAGCAGGATGTAGCACGCCTGTTCTTATCTTCCCAGTCTCTGGTAAAGTCTTAGCTGGTTGAAGCTCACCTGGCCCTTTTCTACTAGCAGCACCATCAATATTATTTACAGGATTCTGTGCTCTAAATTGAAATTGCAGACTTCCTCTTACCTTTGGCAGCATAGATTTCTCCTGGCAACCAGAGAAACCTCATACGGTTAAATACTAGCTTCACCAGAAAAAATACACCTATAGCGGGCATGAGACTACCAACATATACCATCATCACCATAACGAACTAAAACTAACCTCATCAAAAAACCCCATTTTTGGTGATGGCATTTGAAGACCTGAAGGTATGAAGTTCTCTGATGATGCAAGAGGAACAGGAGTAGTTGCTCTTAAAGTTTTGTGTGGACATTGACTTGGCAAACTAGTTTCCTGAATTTCTTGAAAAACCGAAAATAGATCAGGTGAAGGACTCTGCAAATCTTTTGCTTGAGTGGCATCAGTTCCTACTGAGACGCCTGTGAGAGTAGAATCAAGACTGGCATCCAAGTTATGAGGTCCCTGTTTGGCAGCAGAAGCTGATGATGATGATTCTAAGGACCATCCATCAAAGGAGCTAGCAGGTGAGATCGTATAGGAATGGTTTGTCATTGATGATGAAGTGATTGAAGAAGTAGAATTTTTCAAGCCACTTTTGGTTCTGACTGACTGTGTGAGAGGGGTGCTGAAGGTTGAACCAGGAGACAGTTTACTGTATCTGGAACACGTTTTTCTTCTCAGGAAGTTTGAGAAAGACTTAGAAGATGAAGCATCAGCGGATCTGTCACCTGAGGAACATGAATCTACTGAATCCTTGGATGCAAAGAGTGAAACTAAAGAAGATGACTTATGGGGTGGTGTAGAGCTAGTAGTAGGACCACGTGAATAGCCCAAACCAGATTTTTTGGACACCATCGAGCCTTGGCCTGTAATATTTGCAGTTTCTACTTAGAAGCAGAAGAAAGTAGCTTATAAATCAATCCTTAACCAGCAGTTCTTACCAGACCCTCTATTTGTGGATTTATTTTCCCTTTTAACATGATACTCCCCCATTGAAGACCTATTTGTTTGTCCTGCCGATGATACGGGGTTCATTTGGCCCGTCTTGGGTGGCTTAAGGGACAACGAATCAGATTCTCCACTCCTGGTAGTCTGCATTATTGGTCATAAACAAAATCAAGCCAGCTATATCATATCACAGAGTTTTCCCATTGATCTATTCGATTTCTAACATATAGTGCTCAAACGAATCATGCAAGACCATCTTAATGGGGCAGTGTACCTTCTTGATGGTAAGCCATTATTCAAACATGTAATTTATAATCAGCTATGTGGCCATTTAAATTAGGCAGAGAGATCATGCAAGGTTAAGCAGTGGATGCAAAAACATAAAAGTGATCATTTCATTCCGCTCTACTGACACATGCCTGTGGTGGTATTTGTCGGTGAATGGAGGCCTCCTTTTTTATTTTAACTGATCCTTGCAATTTGCTGCCTTGCATTTTGGAAGCTGGTATGGATTTCAACTGAAATTTTTAAAGAACAGGGCTTAATTCTTCAGCAAATATCCACACAGTTACAACGAAAGATGACTTTCACTGGTGCATACCTTGTTTTGATAACCAACATCAGCTTTCTTGGAGGCTGAAAAGAAGCAACCAAGTCATTAAGTAGCAGTTTATGAGAAACAGATACGAGCAATACATACAAGGTGCCAGCGGTCTAAAATATGATACTCTATCCAAGTAAGCCTAACAGTCCTGTGTAGGACTCGTGATACACATCCAAAAGACTATGAACCAAGAAGTAATTGAAATTTTGAATCAGCCACTTCAACAATTGTTGTAGGACTTACTCTTTGAGAGAACTGCATTTGTATTGCTTACAAAAACAAAAACAACGGGTAAAATTGGCTTTTACCATCCAAGCAACAATTACTGAGTTGAAGTTGACTTACAGAGGATATTCTGTATGCCTGCCTGTTTGAGACTTGCACTTGCAACATTGGACTTTTCATAGGATTTATGGATGGATGCTCTTATATCTTCAAATAGATCGAGCTCGAAGCTTTCCAAAGAGAAATTATCACTGTCCAAAGTGGATTCCGTGTCAGATCTCCACATCTGCATATCTTCTTGAATGCCGGGTAATAGATGGGCTTCAGCGGTGTTGAATCCTTTATTTATGATAGACAACTCATTCGGATCCAGAACACCTAAAAATTGCAGGAACGTATCCATAATTTAATAAACTGCAACTCTATAAAACAAGGTAGTTCGAAAGAAAGGTTCTAAAGATTTTATGTTGCTTTCGAACATAAATGAGTACCTGCACTAGTGAAGAAGGCACTATCCCAAGCTAAACTTTTGCGCATGTAACTTGGTCTTGCTGGCTCCATGGATTCAGAAAATAAATGCTTTTGTTCCTTTGGCAGAAGCACTTCTGCAGCAGTTTTTACTTCCAGAGAACTGGAAGCCCCAAACAGCTTGTACCCTTCATGCTGCTTTGTATTCTCCAATGTCACTGCAAAGAGGAGTTTCAAGCATAGACTGTATTAGGCAACAATCGAGAGTATGAAGAGCAGAAGGGGGAAAGGAGTATATACCAAAACAACAACAAACTCACTCTGCCATTTCAATTTTTAAGTTCATTGTTAAATCGCTGTCCTAGTCAATCCCAATCAGAATATAACCATGTGTACAATGAACAGAGAAACCTTATTCATGTTTCAATTCCCCTCAAGTTGAATGGAACCACCAAACCAGAACTCAAGTTACCCGTGGTAGCAAGAGAGGCCAGGCAGCGACAATTGAGAGGTTGTCACTGAGCATTCCTAGTCACACCGGAAGAGAGGTAAAATGGCAAGGCCATATGCCCGTCTTGCTTATGCATAGCCGATAGACAACTAATGGCATCAAAGTTCCCAAGAAACAACTTTCCTCCTATTCAACTCTCCACTCTGTTCTTTACCAAATTCCCATCTATTCTATACTTAGTCAACCCAATTCAGTCCATTCTGCAATAACTGGAGGAGAATTTTATACCAATTCCTTTCCAAAGGATAATTACCCAAACCAAAAGCATTTGTCATTACTTCACAACACAAAGAGTCTACTAGTGATGAAAGCCAAAATTGAATTTGGCATGGAAGCACATATCAGGGTAACGGGGAAATCCCCGGTCTGTCCCAGCGATTGGCATAGGTTCCAAACCAAACTAAACCTTATGTTCCAATCATTTGGGGTCGGCAATTTGGCATAGGTTCCACCCACCCTTAATTAACGGAAACCAAACTGAGTAATATCCCTTTAATTCCATCATAATTGCTTTACCAAGCAATCTAACAACATCACAGCTACCAAATGAAACAATTCCGAGAAACCAATAGCATTAATTCAATCAAGATGAAGAAAAAGGAGGTTCTTGTCAATCAACTTCAAGCACATAATAAACCTTACATAATCAAACTTAAATTACCCGCCGGTTACATATATGCAAAGAAACGAAGAGAAAAGGAAAGAAAAGCTGAGATTCAAGATCACCTGAAAGGCGCAGGTCTTCAAGAGAATCGAATATCGGAGAAGCAATCAGAAAATCATCCTCCGATGAAATATCTATCAGTCGAATGTCTTCGACTTCAAGATTAATCTTCTTCTCTCCATCACCTTCCATTGCATGCACTACTTCCAAATTGAAATTCTATACATGCATATGCTTACTCATACTCTGTATCCCTGAATATATACACAGAGAGAGAGAGAGAGAGAGAGAGAGAGAGAGAGAGCGCAGAAGATGAAGCAAGACGGCAAGAACAAGACGAGAAAGAGCAGGAGCGGAAATTTGAAATTTGAGAAAATGGAAATGAATTGTTAGTATTAAATAAATTATTAATATACTTAAAGGGAATAATTAATAGAATAATTAAGAGAGATTTCGGAACGGCTGTTTGGACAAAGAATAGAAGATACTTTGGTCTCTTCTCTGTCTTTATTATACACACGTGTAATTGCATTAAGGAAGGAGTCTATCGTCACCTGCGGGTGACGTATCGACTAATTAAAAGGGGATACTTACCAAATACTAAATTAGTATAAGTGGTGGTGGTTAGGTTAATGAGTCCCATTCACGCCCACTAAACATTTAATTCATAAGATTTTACTGTATCATTTGGGATAGGATGAGATTATTTCCATTCCTCAAATATCTATTTTCATCATATTTAATTTCTTATTACCAAACTATTAAATTCATCTTCTTCTTTTTTTTCATCCTATTAAAACTAAGTTTATTATATGTTATACAAACCCTTTTAATAAGATAATTAGTTTGAATGCATACATATATATATATATATACGAAACAAGACTACTCCAAAAAAAATGAAGCAAGAAACAAATGAGACAGGCAAAAACAAAACAACCTAATAGCTATTGTGAAAAATGAAACAAGAAAAAAAATCGAAAGAAGACAATTAGTCATCGTAAGAGATATCAAAATCCTAATTTGAATGCATACATATTTTACACACACACACACATAAACGCTAAATAAAAAATTATTAAATTTAACAGAAATACCAAAACATCAAAAATAATAAAAATTCGTACAACATACATTCAACCAAATATAAAATTAAATTAAAAAGTAATACTTACTTTTATCTCATAAGAGAAATTTATATTAAAAAAATAGTGTTTATGTGTCACGCCCCATCCCGGTCTCCTAAAGATAAGATGCGACAAAATTTTTGATACACCTAGTTACATATATATACTCTAAATGAATAAAACACTAATTAATCTCATAGGTGCAACAATACCACCCATCATCTTAGTTAATAAGCATGATGGTAAACCTGTACCATATATAATACTTGTACTAATTATTTATTTCCAAGGTTATATACAAATACAAAATTTTACACTCACATAACATACATCACAAGGTATGTCTGTTAATTCTGTTTACAAATATATATACTATTAACATGCTATAATAATCTCTCATTAACATAATATACAACCCAACTAATAATTATACAGTCCCTCAACCAGTATCATTGACTCGTTTAAAACTAAAGACATAACGAACAGAATATCATACTAACATTGTACAAAACTCAACCCTTGTGACAGTGGACTGATCTGTGTCTCCCTCTCTTGTACTTGAAAATGAGAAGTTATAGGAGTGTGAGTTAAACCACGCACTTAGTGAGTATACATGTCGTATATAAAATAAAAATTATAGTAATACACAGAAGTAGGTAAATACTACGTAAATACACATATCAAACAACAACATCAATCTAATTCTAAAAGCATTCACAAGTCACAACACATTCATACTACCTCTCATCGGGTAATCGATCCCATATGGATCCGTGTTTCCTGAACCTCCCGGGAACACTACAGTGCTAGCACACCACTGCACGCCCAGTGATCAAGCATCAACACTCATGTCTCAAATAGTGCACCACATTCCACAATACACAATACACAATGCACAATTCAAAGCATCATCCAATCACATAAGCACATAATCGTAGAGAAATGCTATTAAATTATATCATCTAACATCATCTTATAATAACATTTTTAAAACATATAAAGATATACACCCACCTCAAAAATTCCAATCTACGACCTTTCAGTTTATTGGTAGATCCTTCCGGTGTTTTCGTAGCCGTATCTATACCAATTGTCCTACCTGTTCCATCTAACACATCAATATTAACATGTTTATCTCATTGAATAATTAATCATGCACTAATGTATGCAAGATAATTCAACGCAATGTGTTCCGGTAACCCCAGTTACTGCATTATTCACTCACGTACTGACACATTAGATTTAGAGATCATATTTCTTCCTCAAATCTTCAAAATCACTCATATTAATCACAATTAAGATTTAGTAGGTCAAACACATTGACCGGGCCCCATTTCTACACATTTCGACCCCGAATACCAAAAATTATACTTTCGACATTTTCGTACATTCCGCACCGGATATTATATTTATTTGCATTTGAAATTTACATTATCACATCAAGCATCAATTAAAAATATTGCATGCAAAATTTCAGGTAATTTAGATTAAAATTCATACATGTAATAATAATATTTAGAAATCAGAGTTTTAGTATTATCGGCACCTATTTTCAAATTTTTTTTCATATTTCCTTTTAAAACAATTTTACCTAAACTCACACACTCCCTAACTCATGCAAATCAACCCTTTAATTGAACCCTTAAACCCCCAATTTCACTCCCATAATTTTTGTTTCCAACCTAGCCCACTAAATGTTTCCCGAAATATTTTAAATGGTCATTTTTACACTTTTTGTAGACTCGGTTGAGTACCCATTAATACTCCTTCTTAACAACCCCTAATTTTGTGCAACACCCTTAATAAAATCTGTTTTGAACTTAAAATAAAACAACTCATTATTTTAACACAAACAACCCACTAATTATGTTTAATACACTTAATTTAAACTCACCAAAATATGCTTTGAAATTACACTAAAACAGTTTCACACATATACACAAATACTTAAAATTAATCACACACACACTAAAATGAATACACACATACACCCTTATCTTCTTCTTGTTTTTTTTCTTACTTTTGGTTTGGCATAGAGTCCCCCAAATTCTTTTTTTTTTTTCTTTCTTCTTCATCTCCTTTATTCTCCCTCACTCACGGTTTGAACACACCATAACACACACACACACAGTGGTTTATTTTTTAAACACACTCACTTTACTACATATTAATGTACACACACATAGTTTCATGAATTACACAGACACTTTATTACACTTTAAGACACACACACACATGCACTTGATTTTTCCAAAATGACCCACCACCTTAGCCTTGACACATGTATAAAGATATTTAATAATTTTATTTGCCTCCCCCCAAATTCTTAAGTGATTTCAAAATCAACCAAATACTATTTCCGTATACAAAATTCCATCTAATAAATAATTTTACATAATTGCAATTAATCTACATAATTATACTAATATATATGCAATTCATGATCGGGTCTCACATTATGTGTGTATGAGATGATATAGTGAATGAAACCTTAATTGTAAAAAAATATAATGTAGATTTACTTTATTAAAATGACGTGTATAGCATGAGGTGGATTTAGTTACTATTATGGTGAGTATAAAAAGAATATATTTAATAGTTTAATAGTAAGAAATTAAATGGGGATGAAAATAAATATTTGTGGGGGTGAGATCACACCCTTTTGGATATAACATTTAGTAAACTCACTTGAGGTGTATAGTTTTATTAAATAAAAAAGGGTGAATCACACTTTGTTCCCAAAAAATTTAAATTTTTTTAATTTTCATCCTTGAAGATTATTTCTTTTTTATTTTTATTCTCAATGTTATAAAATGGCTACTGATGAGACTTTTCTGAAATACTCCATAATGAAGACACGTCTCCTCGGTATTTACCAAAACACTGTTGCTAAGATCAAGCACCATCGGCGCACAAAGTTCCTCGCCCCCGAGGTACTCGTCATATAGGATCATGGCATTCAGTACGAGTTACAACCAACACGTAGCCTCGGTCTGATATGGTACCTCGGTCGGTATCCCTCCCTCGGTTCCGAGATGAGCCTTTCCTTGGTGCCGAGGTGTACCCCGTCCTGGATGCCTCCTCTACTCCAGGATAAGCTATTGACGTACAGGTCATCAGCCTAGGCTAGTCTAGGCTATTCATCATAACCTCGTCTTACACAATTAGTGTCAGAACGTACTGGAATGCAGGGGCCACAGCCAATGGGGGATGGACGCGTGGCATACGATATCACATCAAAAACAGAAAAGCCGCATGCCGTTGCTGACACGCGACTTGGGAAAGCAAACGATTAATTACACCATTCCTTTGACAAGACCGCATTCAATGCGGTAAGGCTCGAAAATGAAAGACAATAAATGCTCCTAATACAGAGCATTTATTGCATCCTCCCCGAGAAGGGTACATTGTACCGTCGGCATCCCGATGACACAGAATTGATTGCTCGGGACCCCGAGCAGTTAAGAAGAGAAGACATTCCTCATCAGAATCAGTGCGCACACTGCCTGTACCTAATGATCACCTACTGACTACACTGACAGCAATCATGAGCTTTTGAGGTATAAATACTCCTTGCAAAAGGCAAGACGGGTATGCAACAAAAAACTCTTTACTACAATACACACTCAGTGTTTTCTCCTTCCTCTCTCTTTCTCAAAGACTGACTAGATCGTCGGAGGGGATACGCCAGAAAACACTCTGGCGCCCTTCTAACTTGTTCTTCTTTGTTCCAGGAACCTCTTTCAGCCTTACTAGATCGTTCTTCCGCTCCCCCAGGGTCTCCCATTGCCGTTCCAGGTTACCACCGGACCTCGCAGGCTGTTCCAAGCAGCGGGGTTGGTCACTCAACTGGCTCACTCGAGTTTACTAAGGGAGAGATTTATTCTCATTTTTTATATTGTGCAGGATCTTGCACGCACAATCTGGCGACGTCTGTGGGAAACGACTAGTTTTTCTAGTTTTTTCTCTATAAAGAACAGTGACCATGGTGAACACTCGACAGAAAGGGAAAGGACCCCACCAAAGGAGTCTCGAGTTACAAGCTCCCTGTCATCACGGAGGAAGGGATCACACCGATATGAATAAAAGTGCCTCTACTCGGTCAAGAGGGGTTACCCCTCAAACCAGTATGGGAATCAGGTCCGGGGGATCAGCCCCTTTGGCTCTTCAGCTGGCGGAGGTGATTGAAGAAAAGTTCGGCAATAGATTACGACAGCTGAAAA